TTTCAGGTTACACTGTTCTCTGGTCATCTGATAAACTATGTATTTACCAATAAATGTCAGGTAAGAAAAAACGCTAAAATAATTCTGTATCATCAAAAATAATTCAATCATTTAAAAATATTTTTAGGATACATATTTTATAAAGTTTGTAATAGTGCAAACACAGGATATTATAATATTAAAGACTATTAGGCTGTCAAACTGACGATGAAACTGTGCAAACTGTGTGAATCGCAGTACAGAAATACAGAGTGGGTGAAAAAGAATCTAAGATTTTCTTTTAGGTCAATAAGAATTGAGTTCCAAAAGAACCAGTACTGCCAAGATGCAAAGAATATGGTAAAAGGACAGATTACTCATAAAGGTTCTTCAAAGTGGTTAAAGCAAATTTTAGAATGTTTAGTATGTCTCAGGATTATATTCTACCTCCCCAAGGAGATGGTATGTTGAGGTAGCCTTTCAGAATAGCATAGAAAGTTCTCGAGCGATACTCTCGCTTTATGTATTTTTTTCCAATTTTTATTAACAGCGATTTTCCTTATCATAGGCTGAAAACCTCCTCCTATTCTGCTTGAAATCTTTCTAAACCATATTTATTTAGAAGATGTATGAGGAACAAAAACATAAAGTGACACTAGCAACACAAAGAGGTAGAAGTGCGCCATGTCAAAGACCAGTGTACTAAACCATCATGAAAGAGCAAGTTATCAGCTAATGCAATTGTTTGAATAATGTATAATCACTTTTACATGATTTTAATACATTTTTAGTAAATGGCTATTAACTTCTGCAAATTACTGGAAAACTGGGCTCCCAAAACTTGGTTTTCACATGGGCAAAACTGTGCTTTCCCTCACTATCAAAATACAACTCATTCAAAAATAAAATCTAAGGAAGGAATGATCTGATTTACCTCCCTGGCATTCTCCAGAACTCACACACACAGAAATTATCATTAAGAATATCTTTGACTAATGATCGAAGGATTTGACTTTCAAGTAACCTTTAAATTTGAGAAATTGTGACATTTGTTCATTCTTAAAGGTATAAGAGGTGTTAAGAAAGCCATTGTACCTTCTGAAGAAACTCTTGATTTATGTGCCACCTAACCCCTCAAACCTTAGGTCCTAGGAATATTGAACAAAAAGAAGCACGTTTAAATAGGCTTCTTCTCAATGCCAGGGCATAAGCCATCGGTAATGGCTATATTCAGCTAAGTTTTGAAACCATTATCAATCTTCCATGGAGCCCCTGTAGAAAGAACTTACCCTCAGGAGCTTTGGGGTCTGTGCTGGCTTCATTGTGCTTTATCTTTCATCAAAATGTTCACAGCTGGCTTACAAATTTGTGGTCCCCTGGCTCATGAGGAGCCTCCTTCCAATTATGTGCACTGACAAAGAATTAGCAAATACTTTCAGGTACTTTCAGATACACAGGGCATCAAAACATGCAGCTTCTGATCCAAACTACCATGAAGAAAATCTCTCCCCCAACGCTCCTCTTCCTTGCTCCCATCCTTCTCCCAAGCAGCCCACACTGAGCCTTCTTCCCCTCCAGAGCATATATTCTTTTTCTCCATTCCTCTTCAAGTTCACTTTTCACCTTGAGCTTCCTCACTCCCTCTAGATATCTTTCAGACCGTTTTTTCCACCCTGCCCTCTCTATATTCCTCACAACCTTCCCACTGGCTGTTCTCCTCTACCATCCCAGTGCCCTCAGGCCCCACACGGTGATTCAGAACAGATGGAGCCACACACTTGTTGCCATGAGAGAGAAACACGTGCCAGAAGGAAAGGGAAAAGAGGAAGATGCCCAGGACGCCTCACACATCCACCGGGCGCAGGTACGAGCAGGGTATGAGCCGGTACTACCTGTGGACACCCTGGCTGCTCCAGCGCCAGGAGTGCTCTGGCACAGCCCCTCATTCAGCCTTGTTGCCGGAGTTACAGCATTGTTGGTGCTAGGAGACGGGAATTTCCGCCTCCCTCGCTCACGGCGCTTGGTGAGATTCACTTCCAGAACAAACACACTATTGTGCGGGTTTGCTCTACCTCTGAAAACTCCACTAGTTTATCCCTGATTGTGGTAAGAGCTAAACTGAAAATGGCAGTGGAGCCATTCCTATAACAGCAAAGGCAAGTTCAAATTTTCCCATCAAGATGTGGACAAAGCAAAAAGAAAATAGTAAGGACTCAACCTCTTGAATCTAAATCTCTCCAGAGCTTTTTCATGATTCTGGAAAGATGCAATGACAGCAAGTGGCACACGCACACCCTCAGCTACGTCCCTGTGGAGCTCCTAGGGCAGCCTCATCCCAAGGACCCTCAAGAGCAGCCTCACACAAGGTCCTCTGCCAACCCCACAACCCTCCCATCCAACAGGAACACTTTGCCAACACCTTTACACGCTATTTTCCACTCTGTTTTCCACATATTGTGAAAAAGGCTGTTAAACCTGACAGAATGGCCTTGTTTTCCTTCTGTTTTCAGTGTTGTCCAAGATAAAAGATGAGAGTTGTCCTTTCCTGGCCACGTGTGAAAGCTTCTGCCATAACTTCGGTTGGATTTTAGATGCTAATGACCTATCCTGAAAATACACAGGGTAAAGACACAACACTTCTAGTCTGTCAACCAGCAGTCACGCAGTTAGTTCTCATGTAGGAATCCTGCAAAACAAATTACCAGATGTATCAGACTATCAAACTGCAGGTACAGCGTGTTTTGAAAACACACCAGAAATTTAAAGTCTCCAGTACAGTTCTAAGTGCAGTGGAGCCATTAAACTTCGTATCATCATTATTCCTTGATTATACCACCCTGTAATTCTACAAGTTAGTTTTTCCCTGTATTCCCTCTAAAAACATATTAAAAAATGAAAAAATATATATATATATGATCTGGTCTTCTGGGATTGCTGTTATATTTTGCCTTTTATTAACATCTGATATAAACATTTTAGCAGTTTGGGCAAAATATATTCCTACTCACCATTTTGGTGAGGAGCCTGTGTCTTTTTGGTGTCCTGTGCCGTGCTTTTGGTGTTTATATAGACTCTCATTTAACTCATCCATCTACACTGATCCTTATACCCATAGAGATCACTAAAACCTACTCCTCAGACACACAATTCTGGCAGCCAGTCAGAGGTCACATAACTTGTAAAAGCTCTTCTTGCACTACAAAACTGGCATGTTCCAAATTAAACATGCCTTTTCTTTTGCTGCCTTTAAAACTAAGCACGAAGCCATTAATATTCAGTTTTGCAACACTCCCACAGGCGGCACCACACAAGGCCGATTAGCAGCAGTCACGCCAAACATGAATATTTTACTAATTTGTGTCTGCGAATTGCAGCGTTAAAAACCCAACGCAGCAGAAAGCCCCATGTGCACCACGGTTTTGTGCTCTCACACGGCACCATCTCGACGCCTCCAGGAGCGGCGCGGGCAGAGGGGCGCCACTAACGCAGTGCTACCAAAGGAGCCACGGCCTCGGTTGCAGCTGCTTGCTCTGCTCCGCACAGTGCCTTCTGACCCCAGTATTCAGACAAACCCGGCAGGAAAACCCACAGATGTTTAGAAGCAACTTCTCTTCTCTTAGACGAGCTCCCCAAACAGGTCCACCCCAAGCACCTGTGAGGCAGCAGGGCAGTAACGGAGCTCACACAAACCCTGCAGGAAAACCCGCAGATGTTTAGAAGCAACTTCTCCTAGAGAAGCTCCCCGAACAGGTCCACCCCGAGCTCCTGTGAGGCAGCAGGGCAGTAACGGAGCATGTGGGCACCCTGAAAAGGGAGCGCTTCTTCCCCAGCTCCCTGGTGGTGCTGCACAAAGCATTTACTGTCAGGATGTTGGGATTTAACAAGCGCATTTCTGCAGTTTCTGGCAGCATTTAGCATACGCATTTCAGCAGTTTCTGGTGCCATTGTCTGTGATATCTTCCCGGTGCCGCCACAGTCCAAGCTGCGGGCCTGCATGGCCGCTCCACAGCACCCCAGGT